CTCTAAGTGTGGTTCAATCGAGACCTGCAGTAGGTGCCGACCCCACTGTCGCTTCAACAAGTGACAGTGCAGAGATTTCTTCAACCGCTGCAGCCTCCAGTTTAGACACCACATTTGGTGTTGCCGATTATAGCAGTCCCTATGCGGACAAAAAGGCGGTAGAAATATCGTCTAAGTACGACGGCAAGGAAAACGTGGAGTCTTGGATCAGTTCCATAAGAGCCTACTTCGAGGTACACTGAACTCGGTTGATGAGCATGTCCTTGATTATGGGGACCAGCGTCGAACTCGCCGTACAGGGCTCTTTAGAAGTCCAAGCTAATCTGACGCGGTGGTTCAAGGCCACACCAGTGGCCACACTGGAAGAGAGATTGATTAAACAATACAAAGATCCACATGCTGCTGCTAGAGTAAGGAACAAGCTTGACAATCTCAAGTACAACAAGTGGACCGACACCATTCACAACCTGTAATTGTATGTAAGCAGACTTTTTGCTACTCCCGTGTTGAATATGATTGCACAATCATGCATGGATGTTGTGAAAGGTGCGGTCCCACTACTTACACACATCGCCTCGACAGAGATCTCAATGGATACACGGACTCGCGCTCCCTCATGCAGGATGTAGTCAGCCTCGAGGCACAAGACCTCGTTTCCACAATAGGCAGCAAGAAGCCTATAGGCAGTAAGCGATTTAGAGGCAGCAACCGCTTTGTTGTGCATGACCTGCTGGAGGCTGATGAGGAGGCCTATGCAGATGACCCTACTCTTGATGACGATCTAGAGCAAGACTATGATACAGGTTGTTCATCTTCAGCCCATTAATTTGATATTAACAAAAACGAAGAGAAACTTAATGCCTTTAGAAAGTCTGCCAATATGAAGGGACCAAGTCGGAACTCAGGGAAAAACTATGTCCCACTTCCCAATGGAGCCAAGATGCCAGCCAAGCGGGAAGATGCTGCAACCAAACCTTGGTTGGACCTCCGGATCAGCGAAAGTGAATGGAAGGCTAGGATCAAGAAGGGAGTTTGTCTGCATTGCATGAAACCCAACCATAAAGTCGAAAGTTGTAATAGGCTGCAGAGAAACCCAAATCAAGCGTAGAGATGGCATCAACACCTTCTACAACAAGGGAGACTGAACCGGACACAAATCAACAGTCCTCTCTTGAAGCCCCATCATCTCATGATTCCAAGACTGACACATGTCATGTACTCTATGTTGAGCCTTGGGAGGAGTCCGAGAAGGTTAACTTCCACCACCACCTTGAGCATTGCACTGAGATGGAAAAACAACGTGGTCAAGGAACAACGGAATTAATATTTTTCAAGCTTCTCATTAAGCACCGCTACCTCTGCGTCTTGGTTGATTGTGGTGCAACTACTAACTTCATGTCTCCGCACGGAATACACAAGGTGGGCTTGGGAATGAGGCAAGTGGAGTTGCAGGCCCCTTGCTAGACCCAAGTAGGCAACAAAGAAGTTGTCTCCTCTACACATGAGGTCACAGGTTTGCGCACTACCTTTGACAAAAATACGACAGTCGCACATGCACTCAACTTCCATGTACTTGACAAGTGCCCTTTCAACGCAGTCCTTGGGTTGGGCTGGCTACGGTCCCGATGCAAATGAACTGAGTGGAAGGCTGATCTCTTTTTGGTGCATGATGCTTTGGGAAATGAATGCGCGATGTTACTAAACAAGAAGAGCAAATCCCAAGTGACCTATCTCAATGGAATGCAGTTCTGCAAGAAGTGGCACAAGCACGAGGTGGAAGAACAATTGTTTGTTGCGTTTGCTCGTCCTACTCATGTGCCTTCTACTTTTGCAGCTAGTACAAATCCTACTTTGCGTAATGTGCCTACTTCTAGTAATTCAACTTCTCCACATACTTCTAGTCCAAATGATTCTACTTCAGATTCGGTTGCCTTCACTACTATTCTGTGACCCGATTTAGGTGATCCTTTTTCTGATCCCCCACCCCCGGAGATCCCAGCAAACATCCGAAGTTTAATCAACCGATTTCCGAAAGTTCTGGCCAAATCATATGAAGTCCCCACGCGATCAGTCAAACACACGATCGAGTTAGTAGAAGCGTGGAGTCCCCACCTGATCAGTCAAACACACGATCGCGTGGAGTTCCTCAAAAACGTTGTGCATACCATATAGGATCCGGTGACATGGAGGAACTCTGAAAGCAAATTGACGAGATGATTGACGAAGGGTGGATCAAACCAAGTGAATCTGAATTCGGTGCACCGTTTTTGTTTATTCCAAAGAAGGGAGGCAAACTCCGAATGTGTATTGATTACCGCGGTCTAAACCGCATCACAAGAAAGAATGGATACTCATTGCCACACATAGATGATGTGCTTGATGTTGCATATGTGTGCAAGATCTTTTCTAAGATCGATCTAAGTCTGGGTACCACCAGATTGAAGTCGATCTTGCGGACCAGCACAAGACTACGTTCAAGACACACGACGGGCTTTACGGATTCATTGTAATGCCCTTCGGTCTCATGAACGCGCCAGCCACCTTTCAAAGTCTTATGGACAAAGTCCTTCGCGAACAGATTGGTCGATTTGTGGTCGTGTATCTGGACGACATTCTGATTTTCAGCAAATCGATCGAGGAACACATGAGGTACCTTGAGGAAGTGCTCACCATCCCCAAGAAAACGCAGCTCCATCTCAACTTAGAGAAATATGAGTTTGGGAGGGATAGTGTCATCTATCTTGGGCACCGGTTGTCTGCTGAAGGCCTTGAGCCTGAGGCAACCAAGGTTAAGGTCATATGCAAGTGGCCTTGGCCCGCGAATGTCCACGACTTGCGTTCCTTTCTTGGCCTCGCATCATACTATTAAAAGTTTGTGCCCAAATTTTCTATCATTGCTCGCCCATTGTCCAAACTAACAAGCAAAAAGGTACCTTACACATGGGATGAAGCATGTGATACCGCCTTTCAAACATTGAAAGAGGCATCGGTGAGTCATCCGCATCGCGGATCCCAAACTCACATTCATAGTCACAACAAGATGATGGTGACGACTTGCGTGCACTCGAATTCTAAAGCAATCGCATGCCCAACGAAAAGGTAGCTACTTCCATTTACAAGCGCGAACTTTATGCTTTACGCATGCCTTTGGACCACTGGATGCACTATTTATCAGGACGCCACTTCAAAAAAATTTCTGATCATGAGACTTTGCAATGGATCAAGGAGCAAACTACCTTGTCTCCTATGCTGACCCGCTGGTTCCATGAGATTGATATTTTTAACTTTGAATTAAGACATAGGAAGACCTGTTATAATCGAGTTGCTGATGCATTGCTCGCCACCCCGTTTATATGACTTGCCTTGTAAACTCCTACGGCCTCCGGAAGAAACTGAAGGAGGAACTCGTGGAGCAAACTGCCAAGGATACGGACCTCGGTCCAATCCTTGAGCAGTTGCGAGCTGACCCTAGCAGTCAGCCTGATTTTCACGAATGCGAAGGTCTGGTTTTCCAGCGCTATGGAAATAATGACCGTTTGTGTGTATCCAACCATGAGCCTCTTTGCACTCAATTCTTCGGTTTGGCTCAAGGTCGAAGCGGACACTTTGGCATGGCAAAAACCTACGGAAACCTGTTACAACGATTTGACCGGCCTGGAATGAAAGGGTGTGCTGAAAAGTTTGTGGCTGAGTGTCAAGTCTGTCAACGAATCAAACCATCGAGGCAGAAGCCCATGGGGGCTGCTCAAACCTCTTTCCATTCCAAACGGTCCCGGAGAGTCTGTCTCTATTGACTTCACGCATATGGGAAAGACAAGTAAAAATGAGTAAGGACTCAAGCACGGACTCAAACAGAGTACGGGCACCAAGTTTTCAGCCGCAGTGCTTGTGTTCAGTTCGACTTTGCTTCGACATTGTGGTCGGGAATTCAAGACTGCGACTTTGCGACTTATGCCACTTTGTGTCTGCATCCGTCGAGTCGTGTGGAGTCGGCGTCGAGTTGAGTGAGTGTGTGTGTGTGCGTGCTCTCACTCTCCCTCTCTCTCCCAGCCTCGTTGGTCTGCCTCTGCCTCGTCACACTAGTGCTCTCCTCCAAGATATAGCAGACAGCTTGCTTCTTGGGCTGTGACTTCCAGGCCGCTCGGCCTCCCAAGCAACCGGTGCCATTGTCCTTTCGGAGGGAAACATCATTGCAAGTCTGATATCGTCCACTACAGGCCCTAGACTCAGACTACTGGACTGGTACCATAACCTAGGCCTACCGAACTTCTAAAATTCACACGGCCTCCAAAGGTACTAACTTTTTTGTCTTCTTCTGCTCGGCCTACCACTAGTCAAGAACTCAAGTACTACCCTATGCTACATGGGCCTGAACTACCGCTACTTGAGTGCTAGCCTACACTACTTGAGTGTTTACTTGCCGCAACCCTCAAAGTCACGTCCACAGGTAAGTACCGGCTCCAAAAGCCCCCCAAACAAACAAGTGCCCTGGTGGGTCACACACACACTCAGGCAGACATGCACTCAGACAGGCACATGGAAA